ATAGGCAGCCACGTGAAAAAATAAATGCAACAGACCTGGATGAGGAGAAGACAGCTTATACACTCAAGACCAAACTGCAGGTATGTGGTTCCAAACTACATAGAATAAGTGAGAGGGGAACACAACAAGCAATATAATCCCCTTGCTTTATTCCAGACATATTTCAACAGAAAGAAAATGAGAACAAACAGTGCTGAGACCACTGCATAGATTTGGCTCCCTGGGGTGTCCGGAAAAGCAGAAGGCAGCCTCCCCCATCTCCATACTCTCATCCACTGGGTTTCCTCCATTTCCAGCAGACTGTGGAGGCAGTTCAGTTTGGTATAGGCGGGACCTTCAGCTCCAGGAGAGCACATACTAATTACTTTCCTTTGTTAATTAAACCCACGTGGCTCTAATAAGGTAACCTGCTGTTCGCCGATAAATTTAATTAGCCTGAAGGGAGAGCCCCTCCACACAGCTATTTAAAATTGTCACTTTCCATTCACTTGGGCTTCCCCCCCTTCTCTTGCTGTTCCTCCTTTAGACCTGAATTTATGCTCATTTTGCAAGCCCTTTCATGTCCCAAACCTGCTGCCCTCAATGGCATGTACATGTTCAATGACCTCCATCTTGGCAACATCTCTAGGGACATTCAAAGCTGAAAGCAGGACACTTTTATAGCTTTGCATCTGAAGAGCAGGCTTTGTGCTTCGGGTGTAACTTATTCAGAGTGTAACTAGGTGTTACAAGAAGCACAGAACTGCTGCCTCTCCACGTCTCTCTCACCCTCTTCCTCATAGTGTCTACATTAACACAATGTGTGATGTGATGTCATCATGCTATGCATTGCCCTTGTGTCATATCATTGGCTGTCATTTATCGGAGAGGGGCAGAGCACAACGTGACAACATAATGTCAAGCATGATAGGAAATGTTTTGAGGAAGAGTGGAAGAGAGACACGGAGCAACAAAAGATCTTTGAGTGCATCCAACATCTTTCTGAATCACACAGAATGAACAATAATCTGCAGCTCACGTTTTGAGCATTATATTGTGAGGGGGCAGGGCTTGCAAAGATATATATTTGATGGTCAATGTTCCACTTCTGAGAAGGTTTCATTGATCAAAAGCCACGTATTCTTCTAAGGCCACCCTGCCCACCTTGTAGTTTTCAACATTTCTACAAGTGACCAAAGACTACACAGCGTCATTTTCCATTATCCCAGACTAGGTATTCAGGCAAAAGGGTCAGATTCCCACACCCCAACCACCATCTGTGTGTCTGGCTCCTACAGCCCCATTACTAGGCTACCACATCAATTTTTTAATCTATTAACTGGAAGCACTTCACGATTAATTATGTTGCCACGGACTCAGCTATGCTGACTCAAGCCCTCACCTGTTTCCTTTCACTGAAAGGCTTTGGCCTTACTTGGTCAAAATATTAAAGTCCACGTGGCTGCAAAATCAGCTTTTTGCCATCCAGTGGAATGTCTCTTTTTAACACGTCTTATTTTAATGACTCTAACAAGGTTCAGCCAACATGCTTCCCTCTCTTCCTCCTTGTGCTTCACAACTGAATCTCTTCTAAAATTACTTCACTCATGAAGACACCATCTGAACCCTTGGTAACTTGCCAGCTCTCTTGGCTATCCTACACCATCCTCATTGCTCTTACACCAACTTGACATCTTAGCAAGGTAGCTGCTATGTTTGGACCCCCTCTAAGAACACAAAACATAAGGTAGCATCTGACTTCCACACCTTCCAATGGCTAGTTTCGCCTGTGTATTCTTCTACTCTGTCTGCAGATGGCAGGTAGTTGTTGCATTCATCAGATCTCTGTCATGCTCTGGCCATCTACACTGGACAGGGTTTGTCTGGGTTTGTTTTTTTGGGGTTTTTTTTTGGGGGGGGAACATCTAGTCCTCTCTTTGCATGGTATGGAGGCCCTTCCAAATGGATATCCCATATCGGCTCACTGTCTCTCTCACTGGATTGTCAAGACAATTTCACACTGCCATGAGATGCAGAACGTTAATTGTCCAGATCTGTTTTTTGAACACTCCACTAGCTTCATGATGACTCTACAGCTGTCAAGAGGCATAGCCATCACTAAGATCCACAGGGCAGCAACCTGGTCCACAGGTTTGACTTTTACTAAGCAGTACAAACTGGACATGAAGCAGCCTTCACGATTCCTGCCCTGAATGAGATCTCACAGCATTGCTGCCCATTTCCTCTTTACAATGAAAGAACAAAATATTCTCCCCTATGAGGGGTTGCACAGAATCCATGAGTAAGAAACAGATAATTGCTCACCTGTTATTTTTAAAAATAGGTATCATGTGCAGTCACACATCTCACCCTCCATCCAAACACTATGAAAATATCCAGAGGATCATGACTATTTTTACTTGTCTTATAGGACCTCTCTGCAATGGTTAGGGGATGGGACTGAGCAGAAAGTAGTGACCGTGCCTGCTAACTTCATTTATGATCAATTACTGAGGGTGGGCAAGGGAGCCATTACTCCTGGTCTTCCTGAGCTTTCTATAAAATTATGCCTGTGGTATTGTGCTAGCACACTCTCATTTATGGGGCTACACAGAATCCAAGAATGCACTGATTATGGTGAGTGTATGACCTTTCATCTGGGGGACACATGCACCCAAATTCATTGACCAGTTTGAAATCAGCTAATTATAAAGTGAATGGCAGTTGTGTCAGAACTGGATAAGTTATGACATCAGTGGTCTATTTAAAAAATCATTTAGCTTCTCACTCTCCAATTGAAATCACGAAGAAATAGTTAAGATGAAATAGTCTAGGGTGGAATTATAACAGATAGGATCATCTAACTCAGAATTGCCAGGTCATTATTAGCTCCAGTCATGGTCTTAAGTAGAACTCTTTCTTGCTATCCAAGATCATTTAGCTGAAGATGGCAGGGACTGAGCACATGAACTTGTGCATGCAAAGTATATGCTCTGATATGGAGACTTCACTAACATGGTCCCAGGGATATGCTTTAGCTAAATAGGAATCAATAGGGGAAGGGACATAAGCTTAGAGTGAGATCAAATAAAATGGTGGACAGATATGATAGTCCGAAAGGATGAAGACAGCAAGGAAGTGGGTGGGCAAGCAAAGACAGGGTTAATTAACCCATTTGACTATGTATTTATTTTCTATTTAGATTGATAAAATATACATAGTAAAAGATAACTAAACAGATCTTGTTTATAAAACACTAAAAAGTCAAAGCATATTTAAATAAAAAGAAGAAAGAAAATAAGAAAAGAGTATGAGAGAAATCAAGCATAAAGTAACAACAACATCAGTATATATTGCTCAGCAGCCTGGTTAATTATGAGGCAAACCTGTTATTACAATTAAACAAATGAAAATAAAGCATGAATATTTTGTGAATTTAAAATTATAAACTCAATTGTTCTGTGAGTTTACTGGGAGCACAGCCCTCCTTGCTTCTTTTATAAATAAGAAAGTTAGTAGTAAGAGGTTGATTCCCTTTTCATGCCACTACAGAATATATAGGGGTTTAGGAGATTTCCAATTAGCAGCTATCATTTGCCTCACTGTTGTCAAAAGGAAAGCAGTTAATTCCAGACTTTCTTTAACTATTCCCTTTATAGCAACTTTATAGTAAGATTTCCATAAACATTGCCACCATTTATGGCATCTCACTGACATGGCAACATCTCAAATGTGAAGTGTCCCAAATAAACAAATCCACAGGAGCAATACGCAGTGGCCAATTTCCTTCTGAGCCTAATCAACTAGTGGTGCAAAGATGAGCCTAGATCATGTTTTGGCATGCTACCATTCAGTTACTAAAGTGGGTTGAACAGTAGGAGCAAAACTGTACTCTGTGCCTATGACAAGAGCTACAGATTGCCAGTCTGTCATGAAACAGTGCAACCTCACCTGAAAATGGAGTACATGTGGCCCATGTGGCTGTGTGAATCCAGTCCTTAAAGAAAAAGGCTCAAAGCCCAACCGTGCCATATCACATACTAATGCAGAATACTGGCAGGCGTTTAGTCTTCAGCAAGCTCTTCTACACCTTATTGTTTAACATTCTTTGTAGAACCTGGGAATGCTGCCATAGGTTCTTGCTACCCCAGAGCACTAAGGCATCCAGCAACTCTGACGCTTTTCTCAGTACACTCTCCTCCAGCCTCAAAACCTAAAAAAAGCTTCCAATAACACATCTGCTTCCATATATCAACATCCAACTCACTGCTCTGAGCCACTTTAAATATTATATCCATAATGGGAATCAAACACACAGGTGTCTTAACCAAGCTCTGCCCAAATGGCTCTATCAGTCAAAAGTATGTATGTATGTATGTATGTATGTATGTATGTATGTATGTATTTACTGTCCTTCATCATAAGATCTCAGGGCAGTTCACAGAAGTAAATCTACAAGAATACAGATGCTACTCTCACTTCAAGTTCATAGAATCATAAAATACAATCCAGATGTTTCTGCCTTCTCAATTAACTCTCAATGAATTAAATAATTTCAGTGCAATTCTCCAGAAGTACTCAACAAGTACAAAGTTCTATAAATGGTATTTAAGCCACATGACCTTAAATGACATCTTTAAAAAGTTGTTTGGCTTGCTTTGGCAATGTAAAATTTAGTATGGTTGCCACAATTAAAATATATATATACACCAAGAATGTATTCAGGAGTGACAACCTCATCAATCAACTGACATGGAAGGTGGCCTACTAGGTAAATACCAGCTTGGAACATGGAACAAAAATTAAATTATCATCTGTGTAATGGAAACAACCATAGTGCAATACCTCCAAAGACCACAGTAACATTAGGTATATGAGGAATACTAATATATCTTAATACTCTAGTATTTAAGAACCAAAAGTTTGAGATTCAGAGGATCAGCAGTGAGTTTTTTAAAAATCACATCAGGAAGCATAGCTTTTCAGAGGCACTTTTTGCCAGAAAGCTCTTATCCTCTCACCTGGACTGCTGGCTGCTTATTTTCATTGCTGCTGGGAGAAGTCAGCCCTGTTGCCTGTTGCAGAAGGAACTGCCGTGCCACCTGAAGAGCCTGGAGGGAAAGATATATAGTACAGGATGAAGATTTAAAAAGTGGAGTCTCTTTTTATATTCTTTCCAATGCAAACTTGCCATCAAATTTGAAAAATAACTACTCACATACTCAAGACAGCAGATCAAATATTACTTTCCAAAGTAGTTTGTATTAAGCATGCAACACTGGCACAGAAAGACCACAAATAGCAGGACCTCCATGAAGCCAGGCATTTCTCTTCCACCATTGTGAAGGTTCACATTACCAGAAAGATCAGAGACCAAAGAATGATCCAGGATGCTGGAAGACTAAGCTAAAACAGAAATAGTCCTCACCAGCTATCAGCATGGGAGACTACTGGAACTCCAACATAAGAGCCATAGTAATAAGGAAATAACATTTAAGAAGATAGATCCAGGGGAATGAAATTTATTTTCTTGATCTGATTTTCTCTGTGTCCATATCCCACTCCAATCTCATAGCAACACAGAGATAGTGCAGCGTCAAGTAGCAGCATATTGTTTTTAGGATGGAGAGGATGGGATCAATAGTCTTTTGGCAGCAGTCAAAAGGAATAGGCATCCATTGACCTAACTCAATTTAGATTTACCCCACTCCACCTTGGTCTTTCAAGTCTCAAATACAAGCATAGATTATGTCTGTACACAGATTGGTCTAGATGGGCCAATATACCTTCAAGAATGACATTCTGGATACAGATTGTTAAAAATCCTGCCAGATTCAAATATTCTAGGCAGCTGGGAATAAAATTTGTATAACAAATTAAGTAGTCACTACATATAGAACATTGGGTATTTTTGACTTACTTGTTCTATTAAGATACCATGTTTCAGCCAAGACTCCCAACACATAATCCAAAATTTAAAACTACTAAAAAAAACCACTACAAAAAGAAACCAGTTGTACATAATATACAACAGAATTCTCTCAGGCAGACTAATGGTTCATTCAGGAGCTGCTGGAATAGGCTCTCTGGCCTGTGCTTCCTCACTTCTGTCTTCCTTCAAGACACACAGGACTTTAAGTATCCCCAGTGAAGATGGGGAAAGGGCTTCTCCCCCTTCTTCAGGCCACTGATATGTCTCTTCAGGAGCTGATGGCATTCCTGTGCGTGATCACAGGCAATGGCTAGCCTGGTAAGCTCAACAACAAACCATGACTGGCAAGGTGGAGAGTTGAGGAAGTGGAGAATAGAAAGGTGTGCATGAAGGCATGGTACTCTAAAAAAGAACACACAGGCATGGGAGGGAAGTGCACTCTAATATGTCAGATCACAGCAGCCATACCACAGAGGAAAAAAGTCTATGCTTGCAAAGAGCAGAGGAGAGGGGTTTCATTCAGGAGCCAAGAGCAGACTGCAAGCAGAGAATAACCCCTAACACAAACAATCCTGTGGTACCAAAAGCGGCTGCTCCCAAAGCCCCACTTCCTCATACGTTTCTTATTTTTGCTTTGAGAAGAATTATTTTTTAAAAAAATTGGTACATTTCTGAACAACAAAGTCATTGTAGCCCTGCCTGCAAGACAGGTTTTTATTACAGCATAGAGACAGGAGGGGGGAGCACGGAGGTAGAGGTCGACGGGTCATAGCCCAGCTTGGCGGTGCTGCAAACAGCATGTGGGTTCCACTGAGCTGTCAACACCGCAGCCGTAAATCAAGACTCTGGCTTCCAAAGGGCGGCTGTGCTCTCCCCAGTCAGCAGAGGCACTTGCAGGGTGTGTCCCAGAGAAAGAACCGCTTGTTAATTTTCCACATTTCCAGCTATAAAGAACAAAGTTACTTTCCGTCAGGCATTTAAACCTTACATACTGTACCGTACTCTCTCTGTTTGGAGGAGCAGCTGATTTTCAACACATGGATCAAATTAGTGTGTGCACACTTACCCGTATGCAATATAATTGCATACACCATGGCATGTAAATGCAAGACAGAGACTGTATTGTTGTAGCTACGAATGAGACTGATGCATAACTTAAACATGGGCACAACCTAGTTTTGCAGTGTAGATAGATATGCATGTGTGCTACGTGCAAAGCATATGGACACACAGTGTAAACAAGAGTATCTACACACATGTTACAAAGTGATCTCATGAATATCTCTCATGCATACACCATATCTGGGAACACAGCAGGGATGTTTGCAAGTAATTTTATTTCTACGACAGTATTCAGCACAATTATAAGGAAGAACATACTCATCACACAGCTATGAAAAACACATGAGCAATTTTTAAAATGCATTTTAATATTTTAAAGTTTCAATATGATCTGGGTTGCATACTGCATGTACATCAGATTTACCATGCGTGTAAACTTTAAAGGTTAGCATCACTATTGGTTTGGAAGCTCACCATATGTGCGTCTTTAATGGAGACACCCAATTTTCTTCCAAGTGACTTTACATTAAGACACCACACAGATGTCCAAAGGATACCAGGTGTTTTAGTACAGTTTCACTAAATGGTAAAAGAAGTGCAAGATTGCAAACACAGTCTTTAGAAGCGGCTTACTGGCTAAAAAGCAACAAAGTTACAGACACTTCCTCAGTCACACAAACAGTGCTAAAAGTCTCTTATAGCAACTTCTCAACCCACCCACAATATCAACAAACCTAATACAATTGTCAGTCATATAAAACTCAAAAACATGCTCCTAAATATGTACTTTACAGGACAAACAAGCACTGAAACTGCATTGTGTTCATTTGAGAAGGCATGCAGCAGCAATGGAAAATGCCACAGACTAAATAATTTTTAGACTTGGTGTTTTCAATAAAGTTCACTGGTCTACATGTCAACACATGAAAAGTAAGGTATCAACAGTCCATTTCTGTATAAATAGTTCTATAAATCTAAGGTGGTGTGTGTTGCCTTCTTCGGAAATGAAGGCGATGTTTCCTTGGATTTGCCTACTATACAGGCATCAACCAAAATGACAAAAGAAAACAGTCGCAATGAAATCCCATTCAAAATTCAACAGGTTTAAAGTTTCAGCTGCACCATCTGGCTTCCAAATACCTGTGGCAACAGCTCAGGCAGCACTTTCATCCTCTTCCAATGTGTACAGAACAGCCTGCGCCTTCCCTTTAAAAGCTTCCATTTTGCAGCAATTTTTGCCCAAGGACAGTTGCCCCAAGGAAGGGTGGATTTGACTGCAATTTAAGAGGGTTGGGTTTTAGTCATGGCACAGTTGTACTGACCTTCCATGTGACCTGGACTGAATCCATTCCGCTCTGTGTCCTTATTGACTAAAGTGTGGATTTATAATATCACTGGCCTCACAAGAAAGAACACCCAACTGAAAAGGTAAGTTCAAGGATTGTTGTAAAATCCTTCCAACAATTTGACAAATGAAGAAATAGAGGCTCAGAAGAGAAGATAACTGTTCCTTTATAACACAGAGTAAGAATCAGGAACAAAACTGGAGTCTTATTTCACCTAACTCTCCGACCCTCGGAAAGTCTTTCAGCACTTCACATGTCTGCTTCCTAATCTCTCTTTCAATGCCTCACTATTTTAATTAATTATGCTTCATTAGTTCAATCAATCAATTAATTAGCCAATCAAAGTTCAAGAGGAGTCCTACACAAATTGAGGAGAGAAAAGAGCTCTACTACAACACTAGTGCCATAATGATCGGAAGGCCAGCTTGCCAGAAGAAACTGGGATGCTGTAGCCAGCTGTATGAAGTCTCCAATAGACCCCATTTTAATTGCATTAGCCACACAACAGTAGCTTTGTTCACAAGGGGACAGCAGGGACAGCCCCCTGTTTTATGGGCTTTGGGAACCCTGTAAAGTCTGTGTGAGTTTATTAAGCCTGGTAGTGGCTTGTGCAAGAAGAATACGGCTCGTGACGGGTGCCGGAACATGTCAAGAGGGCACCAAGCCAGGCTGGTACGCAGGAGACCTGCTGCTCGATTAAGGGGATGCACAGCATGGTGCATGAGAGCCAAGGGAACGGTGGACAGAATATAAGAGGCCCACCCCATACAAGCTCTCATGGGGGAATTTAATTCACTCCCTGCTGACTCTCTCACTTTGTTGTGCTCTGAAGCAAGAAATTACAAGATTTACAGGAAAAAAATGACATGGCCTTACAGTCTCACACTGGGGTCTCCCTGTAACAACTATGCAGCTCACCCACAGAAGGCCATACAATCAGGAATGGGAGAAAAATGAGCAGGAGAAAAAAACCCAACAACTAGGACACAGCAGTATACATGGCTCCACTTTTCAAACAGCAAATTCCAACACAGTAGAGACACTTCTCCATAATTATTTTAAAGTCAACATGCTAGTCATATGGTAGCCAACATTTTTTTATAGGCAGCATACAATTTTTCAACCACCTGACAATACAGAAATTAGTAGTTTGCTCTCAATCCATTTAAAAGGAAAGCTCACCCCCACTACTACCATGGAATAGGGAGAAACAGGCATGTGCCTTCAGTTCAAGAACCTAATTGCCTGGTTATTTGGAAAAGTTTGGATTTTCTCATAAATGTTTAAATGAATTATAATTTTATACCTCTCTCCAAAACTGAAAGTAAGAACAAATGAAATTCTTTAAGAACCATTTGGTCTGGAACAGGTTACCAGATAGGGCTGCCTTCTGATTTATGTTTGGAACCACTGATTGCATGTGCAATCAGTTGGAAGAGGGCGATTTGTGGTTTTGTTCATTATCAAGTATAATTTAAATTAGCTTTATACATGGATGTGTTATTATTATTCATTAGTAGATCTGAAACATCCAAAGCAGAATTAATAAAGAGTAATTAATAGCTTGGGTAGACTATTCAGGATATACAAGTAATTGGGCAAAATCTGAATTAATACCAGTGGGCAATTGCAGACAACTTACTTTGTATACTAACTGGTGATTTTGTTGGTGCCCAGAGGTCTTAACATAGCTAGGTATTTTGGTTCCAGGAGATATTCATCAAACAATTACACTGAATTTAAATCGCTTGATAAAGGTTTTCCAGTGATT